TAATTTAAGTATATTTTAAGTATTTGGGCAAAAATTAAATATATTAGAAATATATTTTAAGATAATTTTAAATACATTTTAAGTATATTATAAGTATTTCGCAATTTTTAAATTAAATATATTTTAAGTATATTTTAAATATATTTTAAAAAGTTTTTAATTATATTTTAAATATAAATACTTTTTATAGGGCTTCTGTCCCTGCAAATATTCTATAAGCTTGGCTGTGTCATATTTTTTAATTTCGTTCACCAACGAGACTGTCTCATTTCAAGCAACAGTGGAGGTGGAAGCTGGAGTATAAGGTGTACTAGTTTCAGACATAGTGTTACGTTTTTATAGTAATAATAGGCTCAGATAAAAAAATAGTGTTACGTTCTGGAGTGAGATAAAAATTTATTCTGTTCAGAAAAGAAAATATTAGGCGTTAATATAGGTTTTTATGTAGTACAGGCATTGCATCATTATACATGATCCGTTTCTCATATACGTTCGTTAAAATAATAATACTTTATTTATGAAATAAAAAATATTGGCAGAAGGGCCCTAAAGGGACCAAACTGGCTTACAATACATAAAAATTGTGACTGTATCGCTATTACATGATAATGAAATATAGATAAAAAAATCTAATTATCTTTGCTTAGTACTTCCAGCACCCTTTCAGCAGAAGGGTATACGATAACATTAATTCCCTTTTCACCACCAAAGATACATTGGGGTTGTATAGGAAAATGAGTAAAAATTGTGTCTTGCAATTCCATTCTTATTGCACTTTCTACTTCAAATTCACTGATATTTCTTAAGCTGTTGATTATGACACTATCAGCTATAAATGTGACCCTATATAAAGCCAAATTGGTCGAATCTATATCTTGAAATCGATCTAGACAATAAGTTCTGATTGCCTTCACGAGAGAAGAGACTTTATTATTGTTAGCGTTAGATATCGTTACTTCAAAAATATCATTTACTCCCTCATCAGAAATGAGACAGTTGAGAGTAATATCCCCACCAGCGAGAAACTTGTCAAGCTTGTCAGGAGTCTTAGTCTTATCAGATTCCTTGGTTTTATTAGACATCTTGCTTTCCTAAATACAAGGCCCATGGTGAGAAAAAACTTGCTTGGTCTCAGAAGGACCCTCGCATACATATATAATTAAGGGCATATGCTTACCTTATTTTACGTTAGCTATGCTATTGAAACTATTTTCTCTGGAAAAGTTATTTGCAGAAAGTTGGCTGAACTTTTACATATTTCTACATACTTTATATCTTGCTGGGAAAAGTTAGGGAGGTATGAGGTGTAATTAGCATTGTCGTATGATGCCAAGAGCTCTTTGAAAGCACATGCAAATGGAATTCTCTTACCTTTTTACATGTAAATCTAATGGAGAGACACATAGTTAGTTTTACGCCTGGTGATCTTGAAATTGTGAGTCCCTTAGCCTTTCATAACATATGCTTTTGCCGTCAGTATTTACTTTTAGAGTAGATCCTGTGTTGCAACTAGACCTCCCTTCACATTTTCTCACATTTATTTGGGAAAAAAATAAGAATAGGAAGTTTATATAATTTCTTTTCGCTTGATATGTGAGAAATTCTCCTGTCACACAAACCTGCTCATGTGATTATTTATTTTATCGCACAATTTGGCCGAAGGCACAGTGCATAGTTCAGCAATTCTTCCGAGATGATAATCATTTCTCTGGACTAGCATTAATCGATCTGCTTGGTAAATTGGAATCAGAAATATTAAACATTTTACTAACATCGCTTTTAAACAATTTTACAAGGTTTTCTAGTCCCTCCAAATTTTTCTCAAATACTTTGGTTAGCTCCTCCAGATCGCTAGGTTAATTATTGGATAAATCTTTTTTACTTGGTCCCTCTAAGATCCTTTTGGTTTGGCGCTCGCTTTCCATTCTTACCTTTGGTACTGCAGAAGTTAGTCTAATTATTGGGAAGAAAAAATAAAATTGTGCAATATTTAGTTAATCACTACTCTGGACTGGTTCAGGTTCTCAGATATTTGCACAGTTCGGGATAATCAAATACGCTAACAATCCTGTCTTCCTTTATATTCTTGACAGTGATAAAGCCAGTTGCCTTATCATATATGTACTCATATTTGGCTGGATTGCATAATGGCAAATACTGCGTGGGATTATTAGTAAACTTACCTGCGGTCTTGCGCCTATTATTTCTTGATTTCTTATCCATTATTAGATAATTTGGCTGATTCAATTATTTCTACAAGCTTGGGTTGGATTCCTTTTAGGTTTCACCTCCTTATTACCAGATTTTTTCTTCCCACACTTTACTTTGCGAATCCTCTTCAGCTGAACTTGACTCAGATGAATCTGTTAGTTCTTTGCCAGCCTCTAGGCCAGTTTGTTCTTCTATATAATTTCCTATCTAGTCTACAGATCTTTCAAGCTTTTTGAAACGAGAATGATGATCACGTAATTTTTTCTTCAGCATTATTATATGCATAACAAGAGAATTAATCACTTCTGCATTCTGCCCATCTGCTTCAAATACCTTTTTTAATTTCTTCATTTGTTCACATGGTATGCTATTATTTGATGAATGCTTGGTTCTGAAGACATCATTTCGTCTAACTACCATCTTTTCTATAACTAAATATTTATTGTCACAGAAAAAAAATAAAAGCTGAATTTATCAATCTGCAGGAGAGGACCTATCTGAAAAAATAACTGATTAATTATCACTGGATTGTATTTCTTTTCCTAAATGAATATAAGAAATAGAATTGTACATTTCATCTATATCACTTCTTAATATTTTTTTGAAATCTTAGGGTGCCATAGCATTATATAGATAATAGATTTCTCGGGCAATTGTTTTAAGATTTTGATGTATTTTAGTTACATCACGTTCCAGCGCTATAATAGACTCTTTGATATTCACAATAGTGTATATCTTTTCTTTTTCCGAATCTATGTAATATTTTTTAGAAGGCATTTTTATATATCTGAAAAAATAAACTGAATATTTATCATTCCAGAAAAAAAAATCTAATAATTATGTAAACTCTGTGACTTGACTAATCCAATTCGCTCACAATTCTAGCTTATTGCTGGTAGCTGGATATGTGAGACATACATTCATTTTGATATTTCTCTGGAAGCTTGACCCTTATAGCTCTTTTTTCAGCCTCTTCATGGGATATACTATCTTTGACCATATTTTTATAAGCTCGAATGCACCAATGATTATATGGTAAAGTGGTAATCCCATCAGATAAGATTCAGCACTTAGTATCTATGGGGCAAGGGCCTTCTTCTCAGATTCGACCAGAGATAATATGTGATCCTTTGATCAGATGCCTACATCCTTGGCATAAAATACTTTCTTATCAAAGAGACAGTCCCAATATACTAATGACATAGGATCTGCCTCAGATTGCATAGCCAAGTCCCTAGTCTCTCGTTCCGATAATAATGACTTATCTATCGAATTATCTAGCAAGGAGCCTTCTAGGGTTGGCATATATGAATCTGTAGCCATCTCGCTCATACTCTTTTTGCTAACCCCTTATGCTTAGACTTCGTGGTCTTATCTATCAAGACATAGTAGTAAGATTTAGCTCGAATATGATAGGATTCTGTGATTACATTACCAGGAGTTTCATCCTTAAATTTTCTAACTGTTTGATCTCCATTAAGATTAAAGAGATCTGGTCGTTCAGCCATATCTTTATAGATATCTTCTGTTTCAGTTTCGAAGATGTAGAAGTCTGTATCCATATATCTAAGCTTGGCCTTGTCCCCATATTTTTCCTTTATATATCTATATCAGAATTCATACATGTGAAGCTTGCTAAGACCCAATACAGATGTTCCAACTTCCAACTATGATAGACTTGTTAAGGGTTACGCTGGCCTTTTCCATATGTGCTCCTATAAATGTATTTCCAAGTTGCCTAGCATATTTGAATGAGGGCTTGCAGACCTTTTTCAAAAAAGCTTTTTTATCTCGCTCATTATTTTTCTTCATAATCTTGACATCCTGGTACTTGCGAACATTCTCCATAGTCTTGCTATATACTGATATATTCATAAGTTTGAAAAAGTCACTCAGGAATGTATTTCCAGCTTTTTTAGCCTTATTACGTTTTTCAGTATTAAAAGTTATATATGGTTCAAGCCAGTTAGTCTGGTTGAAGGAGAGTATCTCTGAAACTTCATTCACAACCATACCTAATTTTACATAATATTGGAGCTATTGGTAATGGATGACATAGTTCTTTTGTGGTCCAAGATGGAGGACTAATTTTTCTGTGGCAGAGAAGCATCCACTATCTAATTGTTCTACAAGTTTAGCATTATATGGACATAACTAATCTTTTTCTACAGCGACATTCTTCACGGCTGGAGGTAAGTCTTTTAAATATTCATGAGTCTTTAGAGAGAAATGAGTATTAATATTTAAGAAATACCCTCGTTTAGCATCAAATCGTGTATTAAGAATCTTTTCAAGATATTTCTTCTGCATAGCTGGATTTTTTAGTAAATATTTCCGACTAGCTTCCCATTGATAATTTCCGATAGGCAAATATTGGCCCATAGAATGTCCATAAAGATTTGTTACATCTACATATGAGATCCAGGATGTGGGTTTGGATGGGTCATAGGCTTATCCCATCTTGGGATTATTAGCCTTAAAATATCGTTGATAGGCCATAGATATACCATCACATTTAGCTTTTTCGGTAAAATCATGCATGGCCATATCTGTGAAAAGCTCTATCCTAACTCCTGTCATCTTAAACATTCCATCCCAGGATAGTGATGAGGCAGAAACATAGTAACTGGGATTAAGTTCATAATATTCTATAGACATTTTTCAAAACTCTGTCCAGACATCTGTTAGACTAAGTACGTCAATTTTAAGATAGAGATCATGGTACTCACCTAGATTCTTACAACCAAAAGTTTTCCATGCTTTCTGGGCATGGTGGTAGTCTTCTTGCGAGATCTTTCCTTTTAGGGTTGTAGTAAATTCATGAATTGGTGGGAGCTTAGTCTTCAAGAATCTATCCTGAGGATCGATATAATCATAACAATATATTCCCTTGCGATATCTTAATGCTAATTGCTCCTCTGTATAACCTAATTTTTTGAAATATTGGCTTATTATCAGATGGTTATCACCCAAATTTTTCGTAAGACTGGCCAAGCTACTATTCATGAATTACTGGCTATCAATATACTTGAGCTGGCCTACCTTCATAGACTTACACTCCCGCGCAATAAGTTTAGGACCACCTTATTTTTGTTTATATAAATAATGTTTTATTCTTATTTATATAAGTTTTTTTTTAAAAAAAATTCTTTACATTGTAATTTCTTGAATAAATATAAAAAATTATCATATTGATCTTTATAAATCATATAATACAAGGTTTTTTTCTCAATGACAAATTTTTAACTTTTCAACCAGAGTGATTACAACAAAAATAAGTACAAAATTTAAATAGTTAGGTAAACATAAGATTATATTTCAAATTTCGTAAAGATCGAATCAGTAGTTATTGAGAAATTAACAATTAAGAATCGACAATTTATATATTTGACCTAATAAATAAATGATTTTCATATATAAATTGTCGATCTTTAATTATTAATTTCTCGATAACTACTGACTCAATTTTCATGAAATTTGGAATATAATTTTATTGTTAGCTAAACTATTAGAATTTTGTATTCATTTTACTGTAACTGCTTTAGTTAAAGAGTTAAAATTTTACTATTAAAAAAAAACTTTATTTTACATGATTTATAAATGCAAATATGGTAATTTTTTATGTTTATTCAAAAAATTATAACACAAATTTTTTTTTTAAAAAAAATAAATTATATAAATAAGAATAAAACTTTATTAATATAAACAAAAATAAGGTGGTCCTAAACTTATTGCGCGGGAGTGTATACCGCTTAAATGTTTTAGCTATAACCCTGATATGTTTTGCATTAGCTGAGCGTCCAACAGATTCACAGACCAAGTGAGAGTCATAGCCCCAGAAGTTATGGAAGATAACTGGGATTGGGGTCTTCCAATCCTGTATCTGGAATTTGAGATTGCAATCCCTATGAGCTGATTCACGAAACTTGCCTGTGATATGGCAGTGATCCCAAACCTTATTAGCCTTAGCTTTTTTGCTGGAAATTGCCTTGGTTGTTTTATCAATAGTTGATTGGATACCATTATATTCCGCTGATTTTTTATCAAATTTTTCTAGCTTTTCTTTAAGATAAGTTATTTTGGATTCTAAGCGCTTGATTTCATCTATATCTATATCGAATTTACCTTTGCAAATCCAACAGCTAATAGGCATCGGCAAATTTTTTCTTGTCTTTCTCAATTACTTTTCACTCATATTTAACAGTTAAGACTTCATTAATGTGAACTAGCTCTTGATCAATCCTTTAGACGAATTCTTATGTGGCATTTTCTCCCCAATATAAGAACGGACTCCATACATCTCCAGTATCAATCCAGTGGACTAAGTAGCAGAAACTATTAGTCTTCTGTTCAGTAAGTTTTCGCATGCTTCCACCATATTTTCATCACATTTCTTATTATTAGCCTTGAAGTCCACTATAATAACACAAGAAGCATTGATCATCTGGCCATAGTTCTTGAAGTCCTCAAAATCATTTACCCCTTTCACGAGCATTGTAACTCTCTGTAGGGCATTTTCATGTATTCCTGGACACTATTCTATATGTTGGTCTAAAGATTATTCAGAAGGAAAACTTTGGAAGTATCCATCACATAGATGTTTCTTTTCTTTATGCGCACTATCCCTATATATTAATCTACTGGGATTCTTGATCCAGAGAAAGTGGTTCTTTTGTCTGTATTTATCTTTATCTTCAGATTTGATAATATCTGTAAGAGCTAATAACCGAATTTTATACTTTCTTTTAAAGTTTTTACTAGCTATCACGAGTTTTGGAGTAGCTGTTTTTTCATTCCACCCCAAACATTGATGGAGATATTTGGATTCATCTCCTCTATTTTATTAAATATGCGTGAGCAGATTGGAGTAGACATTGGGGTACTATCTAGCTTGACTACATCTAAGTATGGCTTGAGTTTCTTTGCTCAGAATATTTGTTTAAGATGTTTTGTATCAGGCCGATCTTAATGAGTAAAATACAATCCCAATGCATCTTGAAGATATTTTTCTGAGGGTTTTTTTGTTTCTAGATCAATAAGATCTTTATTATCTGGATTGATAGTGGACTTTATATTGGCGAGCCTTTTGGAAGTAGAGATGAATGAACCTCCTGTACCATGACATAAAGTATATGTCTCAATACTTATAGAATTAATACGTTTAAGAATAAAACCTGATTTATGTATCAAATAGTCTGAAATCTTTTTATCAATATGACTAATAGATATGGCTAAATGTTCATCAATATCCTTTTCAGAAAGAAGTACGTCTATTTTTCCTCTATGATATCTATCAAGATATTTAGCTTCATAAATTGCTTTATCTGCAGAATTACCTTTTCCATTATATTTGTATTTTACATATATAGCATTTATGACCAATACTGTTTTTATTTGATTTTTTCTGCAAAGCTCTTCTTGTAAAACACCTGTAATTGTCTTATTTGATACTCCTATAAGTTGAGGTATATAAGGGACATCTGCGTATTTTGTTTGTTTGGCCTGCTGTTTATTGAATGCATATTTGGGATTATTGCTAGATGGTACTTTTCTCACCCATTTAGTCATTGAAGAGCGATTTCTATGTGGTCTTTCTAGATCTTTCCCAACTGGACATTCTTCAAAGTGTATATCCTCCCTATGAAAAAAGTCTGTGTGATTTTTGTTGAAAAATCATTCAATTAAATTCACTACTATTTCTGTATATTTGACCATACAATAATTGTGCTAAAAATTGCAATAAATCACACAATTATTGCATGGTAATTCATTCAATAATTATCCTATTTTTGACCTGAATTTATACAATTATTGTGTGATTTTTGAGCCAAATTTTAGGCCATATTTTAGGAATTATAGGTTAAATTTTACAGTAATAACAGGCAATTTATAAAGT